CCCCCTCCCCTTGGAGACCCCCGCCGAGGAGAAAAAGGGCCGGGCCAAGGCGGGGGTTCCTCGAGACCATCGTTCTGTGCCCCCTCTCCTCCCCTCCTCCCCCCCATATTAACACCCGGAGAGGCCAGGAAGCCTCTCCGCCCGGCTGGAATGGCCGTCGGGTTTTCCCCTACACGGCGGGCGGGGCGGGGCGGTCTTGGGGAGCCCACCTTTGAAGAGATAGTCGTACTCGTCGTCGCGGGAGCCCCCCATGGCGGCGATGGCGGACGGAGCGAAGAAGGAAGCGCAGGCAAGAGCCAAGGGGCCGCTCCCTCCTCCTCCTCCTGCAGCAGCCGCGGCTCCCTCCCCGCCTTCGGACCAGTGACGCTCCGGTTCCGCCCCCTGACCGGCCTAGTTCGCTGTTCTCCGCCCACCCCGGACAGCTTCCGGGGGTCGGCTCCAAAACGCTTCCGGGGTGACAGCCTCTCTCTCTCTCTCTCTCTCTCTCTCCCCCGCCCCCCCCCCCCACCCGGGTTACCACCAACTCTTCCGGTGCCGATGGCGGAAAGAAGAGCGGCGCCACCGAGACGTAAGAAGGGTTAGCGCGTCTCCTCCGGGAGTTTCCGGTTCATGAGGGAGTCGAAGCCGGAAGTGGGCTGAGCCTGGGCAGGAACTCTCTGGTTTTGATCAGTAAGGGCTGGGGTGGGGGAGCGAGGAGCCTTGCCGTATAGGGCGGCACGGCGGCCACGGGGCGGCGCCCGCGAGAAGCAGAACTGCGCTTTGCTTCCCCCTGCCGGTCGGCAGGCTCGTTGCAGCCACGAATGAAAAAAGTCGGGGAACTACGAAAAAAAAAAAAAAAAAAAGGGAAGGGGTAGGAGAGAGGCGGGGTTTGCAAAGGACTTATGTCCCTGAGCATGCACAGAGTGCCTCCTTCTCCTCCGCCCCCGGGGTTGTTTTTTTTTTTTCTTTTTTCCTTTGCAGACGTTCGAGTCTGGCTGCCATTCTCTCTCGGTGCCGCAGAGCATGCGCAGAATTCCTTTTTCTTCCCAAAGGAGTAGCTGTTTTTTTTTCCCCTCCCTCCCAGCTGCCCTCTGTGCATGCTCAGTGGCCTTTTAAATCTCCACCCTTCCACCCCACTCCAAAACCCATGCCTCTTTCTCTAGCCGGGCAGGAAACGAAGCCTCTGCCGAGGCGGCTCTTCTACGGGCGCCTGAGGCGGCTGGTGGCGCTGCGGTTCCATGGTGTAATGGTTAGCACTCTGGACTCTGAATCCAGCGATCCGAGTTCAAATCTCGGTGGAACCTGCTCGGCTCTTTCCTTTTTTCTTTTCTTTTCTCTCTCTCGTGAATCTTTGGCTGCTGCTTCTCCCGGGGAAGCTTCCCACGGAGCGGTTTCTGCTGCTGAGCGTGGTTGGTTGGTTTTTTTTTTCATTTAAAATCGGCGTTTTTCAAATTTGGCTGCTTTAACAGGGGTGGACTTCAATTCCCAGTATCCCCCATCCAGCCTTTCCAGTTCGCCAGGGGGAGCCTGCCTCGGAACCTTATCCTAAGAATATAAGGATAAGAAATAAGAACATAATTAGAATAAAGAATAAGAATATAAGGCTAAGGATAAAAGCATAAGAATATAAGAATAAAAGAAGAATCAAAAAGAATGAATAAGAATGAAAGAGTAAGAATAAAGAATAAGAATATGATAAAAATAAAAGAAGAATAAAAAAACTAATAAGAATATAAGGATAAAAAAATAAGAATGAAAGAATAAGAATAAAGAATAAGAATATAAGGGTAAGGATAAAATAAGAAAATAAGATTTAAAAAATAAGAATAAAGAATAAGACCATAAGGATAAAAGAGTAAGAATAAAAAATAAAGAATAAGAACATAAGGATAAAAGAATAATAACATAAAAATAAGAATAAAAGAAGAATAAAAAATAATAAGAATAAAAAATAAAGAATTAAGAATGTAAGAATAAGAATATAAGGATAAAAAATAAGAACATAATTAGAATAAAGAATAAGAATATAAGGCTAAGGATAAAAGAATAAGAATATAAGAATAAGAATAAAAGAAGAATCAAAAATAATGAATAAGAATGAAAGAGTAAGAATAAAGAATAAGAATATGATAAAAATAAAAGAATAAGAATAAAAAAATAAGGATATAAGGATAAAAAAATAATGAAAGAATAAGAATAAAGAATAAGAATATAAGGATAAGGATAAAATAAGAAAATAAGATTAAAAGAATAAGAATAAAAAAATAAGAATCTACAAATAAGAATAGATGAATAAGAATTCTTTATTGGCCAAGTATGATTAAAACACCCAAGGAATTTGACTCTGGTTCAGGGGCTCCTTCTAGATGCAAAACAACAGAGTAAATAATAATCACCATAATGATATCAAAAATAGAAAGTGGTAGAAAAATTGGGAAGGATAATAGCAATAGGGCCCAACTACGTGGATTAAATATCATTAGGGCACTGTGGGAATTAGGCGCTCAGAAGAGGGATGGCAGGAGAGAAAATCCTTGTGTCTAGTTGCCTTGGCATGCAATGCCCTAGAGCGGAGTCCCAAAAGGAGGAGTTGGAATAGTTTATGTCCCGAAGGTGAGGGGTCTGTAGATATTTCTTCAGCCCTCTTCCTAACCTCTGCAGTTTACAGGTCCTCAATGGAAATCAGGCTGGTTGCCGTCGTTTTTGTTTCCCCTTCAGTCTTAATTATTAGTTGATAATTATCCCTGTCCTGTTTGGTTGCTGTTCTCTAATCTTGACAAACCCATTTGCAAAATTCTCACACACACCCCAGGTAGGAAGTCTGAAGGGAAGAGGAAGGACAAGTGTCCAAGTTGGAAAAGTAAAATGACTTTGGGTCTTGCCCCTTTCTGCATAAATGATGACAACTGCACACAAAACACACACACACGCTCCAGATACTCTGCAGCCCTTTGGCTTATTCCCTGCAAAGATTCCCAGCATTTCTCCTGAAGATCCCATTTGCATCAGGAAAACCTCCAAAGCAGAAGAAACAACAGGTGTTGCCGAAGACTTTAAAAAAAAAAAATCATTATTCCATCCGTGGGAGGACTCAAAAACGACACCCGATTCCTGGAATTTTAATTTCAGCGTCTGCTTCCAAAGAGAGGCATTGGCAAAGGAAAAAGAGGTGATGAAACAAGGGTGGGATGAAAGTACAAGTATTAAATTGAGGTCTAGGTGGCAGTAAGTGGCCAGGTTTGGCTGATCTTAAAAAAACGCCAACAGAATCAGAGCTGGCAAGGATTGCACATTTTTATTTATTTTATTTGGTTTGTCAATTGTTTACAAGATAATAGGTATAAGTAAAAACATAGTTATGAATACATGGATACAAGGGTTGGATTCTATAGGTTCGCAGCTATTTGCTAGAACCGGTTGTTAACATTCTAAGCAGTTTGGAGAACCGGTTGTTAGAAGAAATTACTGGCCTAATCCTGTAAGGAAGGCAGGAAGGAAACATTCTGGTGGTGCTTACAGAAACTGCCTCTCCGTTAACCCTTATTACATTCTTGGCAGGACTAGATTTCCTGTCTCAGGAACTTCTCTGGAGTTTTTTTTCCCCTCTTTTGCTGGTACTTTGCTTGTGTGGAGTGACCATTCAAAGTTACAATGGCACTGAAAAAAGTGACTTACGACCATTTTTCACACTTCTGACTGTTGCAGCATCCGCACAGTCATGAGAGGCCAGGCGAGGAGATGCGTGCCTCGATGTGAGTGATATTGAGTTGGCCACACCCAACCAATAACATGACCACCAAGCCATGTCCACCAACTAAGCCACACCCACAGAACTGGTTGTTAAAAAATTTGAATCCCACCCTTGCATGGATACATATAAGAAAAATAAAAGAAACAATAGGACAGGGACAGTAGGCATGTTGGTGCACTTATGCATGCCCCCTACAGACCTCTTAGGAAAGGGGTGAGGTCAATAGTAGACAATCTAAGGTTAAAGATCCACCCTGGCTTCTAGATGCAGTTTCAATATCACCTACAAAGCCATTTATAAGCTGTTTTTTTAAAAAAAAAACAAATTTTATTAATTTTCAAAGACAATACACAGACAAACAAAACATAAAACGTAAGAACATAGAACATCTTTTCTAAGAACTACTTAACAAAACAAATAAAACATCTTATTTAAGTACAACATAATTCTAAATTATCACATTTCCATACAAACACAATTTAATATGCATCTTATGTATTCAACTTCATATCTTATTACTCTTTTTTCCAACTTCTCACTGTTTCTTCCTTTACTTCTGTTCAATTTTATTCATTAAACTTATACTTTCATCTATTTCATATTACTATATTTCATATTATTACTGTTTCATATGTTCTTATCCAACATTATTAATTCTCAATAAGCAAACATAAACAAAAGACATAACATAAAGACATAAAACTTCTTTTTAGAAAGGGGCTTAACCCCGGGTTAAATAAGATATCAAATAGTATATAAGGTGAGCATGAATTTGATTTATGTCTGTATAAGCTGTTATTGAAGGAACTGCTTAAAAGTGGTTCCTTGCTGGAGTGAAAAGTCTGAGAAATGTCCAGTGTGGTGGATCACTTTGCTCCCCAGAGATCTCATCTGTCCAACTTCAAGCTGTCCCAAAGGTGCTTTTTCAAGAGGCAACTGGACTTTCTGCTTTTTTTTTTGAAGACGTTCCGCTCCTCACCCAAGAAGCTTCTTCTTCATCAGAGCTGAAGAAGCTTCTTGGAGGAGAAGTGAAACATCTTCAAAAAAAAAAAAAACTCCAGTTGCCTCTTGAAAAATCACCTTTGGGACAACCGGATGACTGAGAATCTCCATAGACATAACTTAAAGCTGTTAAGCTTCCAAGCATTTTAGTGAGGGGTCCTTGGTGCTCCTTGAACTTGGTTGTTGGAAGGGATCTTGGAGGTCTTCTAGTCCAACCCTCTATTTAAGCAGGAGACTCTATACCATTTCAGACAAATGGCTGTCCAGTCTTTACTTAAAAGCCTCCAGTGATAGAGCACCCACAACTTCTGAAGGCAACTTCTGTTCCACCGGTTGATTGTCCCCACTGTCAGGAAGTTTCTGCTTAGTTCTAGGTTGCTTCTCTCCTTGATTAGTTTCCATCCATTGCTTCTTGTCCTGCCTTCAGGTGCTTTGGAGAATAGCTTGACTCCCTCTTCTTTGGGGCAGCCCCTCAAATATTGGAACATTGCTATCATGTCTCTCCTAGTTCTACTTTTCATTAAACTAGCCACACATACCCAATGCCTGCAACTCCATAACATCATCCTTGCTAGCGATAGGATTAGCACTGATGATGTTACCTAGTTTGAGTAATGAGACGTCTTTAAGAAAACAA